GAGATTGTTAAGTTTGTTTATGCTTGTTTGACTTGTTAGAAGTTGAAAATTGAACATCAAAAGCCTATGAGTATTCCAAAATGGAAGTGGGTCAGTGTTTCCATGGACTTTGTGTCGGGTTTTCCAAAGACTGTTAAAGGCAATGATTCAATTTGGGTGATTGTAGATAGGTTGACTAAGTCAGCTCATTTTTTACTGATGAAGATCAGTCATCCTATGGAGAAGTCAGCTGAAATGTATATTAGAGAAATTGTGAAGTTGCATGGAATACCTTCGAGTATCGTGTCGGATAGAGATATGAGGTTTACGTCAAAATTTTAGATAGGTTTGCAGAATGCCTTTGGTACTAAGTTTAAGTTGAGTTTCGCATATCATCCTCAAACGTATGGACATGCAGAAAGAACTATTCAATATTTAGAATATTTGCTAAGGGCTTTTATTCCATAACAATGAGGAGCTTGGGATAGCCACTTACCAATGATTGAATTTACTTATAATAACAATTTCCATTCTAGTATTGGGATGGCACCGTATGAAGCATTGTATGGTGGGAAGTGTAGGACTCCATTATGTTGGTATGAGTCAGGCGAGAGTGTTGTGCTTGGACTTGAGGTTGTGTAAGAGAAAACTGAAAAGATAAAGATGATCCAAGAGAAGATAAAGGCTTCTCAGAGTCGTCAAAAAAGTTATCATGATAAGAGGAGAAAGGACCTTGAGTTCAAGAAAGATGATCAGGTGTTTTTAGGAGTTACTCTGGTAATCAGAGTTGGTAGAGCTTTGAAGTCAAGAAAGTTTATGCCGCATTTTATTGGTCCCTGTCAGATATCAGAGAATATAGGTGAGGTGGCTTATCGGATTACTTTGTCGCTGTTACTCGAGATTTTACATGATGTGTTTCATGTGTCTCAATTGAGAAAGTATATTCAGACCCTTCACATGTGATTCAAATGGATGATATACAAGTGAGAGATAACTTAACTTTTGAGGCATTACCATTTCAAATAGAAGGTCGGGAAGTGAAGCAATTGTGAGGCAAGAACATTGCCTTAATTAAGGTATTATGGGGCGGACCAACTGGTGAAAGTTGGACTTGGGAACGCGAGGATCAGATGAGAGAGTCTTATCCGATGTTGTTTCCCTCAAGTAATTTTTTTGAGTGAAAATTCATTTAAGTGAGGGAGAGTTGTAACACCCAAAATTCTATATTAATTATTTAATTGATTAATTTAGCATGATTATATGAGTAAGTGTGAAGTGTTTGATGCCTTGATGATTATATGTGATCCTTTATAGTGGTTTGTGATATACGATGAATATGAAGTGTACCATGATGATTGAGATAAATATGATGTTTAGATGACTATGATGTATGATGGATTGTCATGTGTATCATAGTGATAATTAGACTAATTAAGAGGATTGTTAGTATTTTGGAATAATTAGAATAATTGTTTAAAATTATTTTAATTGGGAAAAATAGAATAATAGAAGTGTAGAGAAAATAAGGGCAGAATAGTAATTAATGAAGAATAAGAAAGGACAAGGTGTGAAGTTTGATATTAAGGGTCTAAAGGTTATACAAGAAATTAAGGGAAAAGAAAGTCATTATGGAATGATCGTAGAATTGGGATAAAGAAACTGACGCCGTGGAGAAAGGAGGCTAGGGCACAAAGAGGCAAGAGATTTCGGTAGAGAACTAAAGAGAAGTTGAATTGCTGTTATAATCAAGGGTAAGGAGAGTTTTATCATTGTTATTATATTTAATTTAAGGTTTATATGATTGATGGGTTGCCTTAGGTTTTGGTAGATGGTGATTTGGTGTTGTTTGATGAGAAATTGATGAGTTGGTGATGAATAATGGTTTATAATTGATGTATAATGAATATAGAATTATAGGTTGTTGATAGATGATGAAACCATGTGATTATATCGTGTTTTAGGACCGTAACATGAGAAAATTGCAAGAGAATTGGACTTGTTTATGCAGGAAATTACAACAGGAAAACCATGTTCGTGTTGTGTCGTCGGACGACGAAGATAGTGTCGTCAGGCGAAGATGCATCTCCAGGAGAAAGTGAAGGCGAAAGGAGGTAGAAAAGATAATGCTTCTGGAGTGCATCTCCCCTAGTGTCGTCGGTCGAAGTGTGATGTGGAGGTAGCGTCGCTAGGCGACGGAAGTGTGTCGCCAGACAACGGAAGACAGAATTGGTTGTCCAAGTTGGAAATCTTAAAATGATCATAACTTTAGTTCTAGAGCTCGGATTGAGGTTTCGTTTGAAGTGTTGGATAGATAACGCGATGAAATTTAATTATATGGAGAAATATGAGAATTAAGGACTATATCTCCGATACCTAAGTTATAATAGAATTATACTCCCCGCGTTGAATCATAATGATGTTTTGTTTATGATGATGTTTTGTATATGATGATGATGTTATGATGTTGTGTTGATTATTATGATGATGTTGTGATGTTGTGTTGATTAATATGATGATATCATGATATTGTGTTGATTACTATGATGATATGATGATGTTTCATTATGATAATGATTACACAATGTTATGATGATATGATGTTTTATTAAGATGATTATATGATGATATGATGATGTAATCATAAATGATGATGTGTGTTGACTAGTCGTAGTCATATTTATTATGTTGTTGTGCATCATGAATTCATGGCATATTTTAGGACTTGGGTCCAGTGAAGTTAGGACTTTGGTCCAGTGAAGATGATAGGACGATTTTCCAGTAAAGATAACAATCTCATAGTGTGAATTGGATGCAACAGTGAAGTGCTCTGGTTCCAAGCGGGAATCGATTCTATGATGGGGATCTTTGGAGATAATGATGACTAAGTCATCAGTAAAGTTTTGGTACCACATGTATGAGCCTATGATGATGCATTATATTTTATGTGACATTGCATAATGATGTGATTGAATGATAATTGTTGATAAATGTTGTGTTGATAACCCGTTGTTGTGACTTGATGATGTTGTGAAGGTGTGAGTATAACATGAAGATATGATGATGTGTGATTTCTTGCTTATGTGTATATTTACTATGTCTATTACTTATGTTTTATATAACTATTATGATTTACCCATCCTTTCTGCTTGAATGTTTCCTCCACGTGGGTATAACACAGGTGATTGAGAATAGTTCGTAGAAGCATTTGAGGATAGCTTCAGAGTGTGTTTATTTTCTTTTGTTTAATAAAGGGAGTCTTTCTCTGATATGTAACATCGAGGTTGGGATCGAATGATTGGAACTTGTGTTCTTTGTTTTGTTTTAAGATGTTGAGTCACTCTACATGGTACTCAAGATATTTTGATTTATAAGTATGAGTTATGAAGTATGACTAATTTTATGAAGTACTATAATGAGGTATTTTGAACTATGATTTCCGCTGCCATGATTCGAAGAACTAAATGTTGATTCTATCTTGTTAAAGATTTTGAAAACCCGTGTTACAGAATAGGATGTGTCGTTATGATGTTTTATATGAAGATGTGACACCCTTGTTGGTGATATACTCTGATTTATTAGTTAAATAATTGTGAATATTCCTTGGGGTTTAGAAGAGTGTTACACTCAGACTACCATTTCCATTCTTCTCCAACCTTGTGCAAGTCACTCAGATCTCACCAAACAAAGTGTTTCTCAATCCAGCAGAATTAGAAAATGTGATTCTGTTACGATTCTGTTCACGAAATCAATCACACAATGCCTCACTGTTTCACTCGTGCTTTCCGTGTTTCCCATGTTTCTTTGTGGATCTGAACCGGAGCTCTAGATATCAATTGTTAGTGCACAAGATGATGAAGAAGAAAAATGAATGTCGACTACAAAAGATGTAAGGAAGATTTATTATTATTATTATTATTATTATTATTATTATTATTATATTATTATTATTATTATTATTATTATTATTATTATTATTATTATTATTATAAATGATAGCTACTACTAGTCTATTTATACACAAAGTAAATTGTCACGTAGGCCCTAAAAATAAACTTAATAGCTAAGTTAATAAAAAAATTGAAATACTAAATTACCCTTCAATAGGACTAAAAGCAATTCTAGAGGGGTAGAAATGATTCTGAGTGATTTTGAGATGTTTGGTTAGGTAAAAGTAGAATTGATTCTACTTGGAGCTAGAATTTGTAGCTTCTATCTCCAGAATTGATTATGTGTAATTTTTACACTGAAATTTATTGTTCAACTCACTTTTATATAAATGTATTCAAATATAAATCATTTTTGCTAAACTCAATTCTGATAGAATCAATTATGTCCACCATCAATCTAAACACACTATAAAAGTTAGACTTCTTACGTGTTTGATCAATAATTTAAAATTTTTGATTGAACTTTCTTTTATTAAGTGGAATATTTTCTCGTGATTAAATGATTTAAGATACTTAAAATTTGAGGTTTTCCAATGTCTTTACTCGCAAGATCATTCTCTCCCTTTTAAATCTCTCACTTAAGAGGGGAGCTAACATTAGCTTAAGGGAGAATTTGAATCTCTCACTTCTAAGAAAAACCAAAACCCTAAAACTTAAAAGTTATACCTCTCCATTCCAACTCTCTCCTTCATTCTTCTCTAATCAAAGAGACCCTAAAACAAGTCACTAGTGAACCTATGAAAATCGAGAAATGATTTTCTCTATTTTCCTCATTTTGTTTATATGTTTTCAATCTCATCCTTAATTCTTTTTCTTTCACTTTTATTTCATAAAACTTCATTTTTTATTCAATGGTCTATATAATTGTACTTATGAGCTTCAAGAAATTATGGTGCTCGCGATTTTGCTAAATTCACTAAAAAAAATTGTTGTCGGAAGTTTTGGAGAAATGGAGTTAATTGTCAATTGATACAACAATATTGGCTCCTTAAAAAACTTATTTATTTTTCTTAGCTTATTACTACATTGTTACATCATGCATATAATTTATAAAATTAGCAATGAGTTATATATCTATGGACACTTGAGCTTTTCATCATGTGTAGTGATGGATGCATAGCAAGGACACAAATCTCTATTTCCAGCTGTGCCTGGTGGAACACAATTGCATATTCTACAACAATCATTGCATGCTCTCAAACATATCTTTTGCCTTGAAGCTTTGCTGCACCTATAATTGCACTTATCATTACAATCTGCAACATACAAATTAACTTATCAATAACCTTGTTAACAATAAGAGTGACGATATATTTCAACCTCACACACCTATCTGTCCAGCAGCAACCATGTGCTGATTTCCACTATAGATTTCCAACTGAAATATTCCATAAGAATAGCGAGAAAAAATTAGCAAGAAATTTGTTTCAAATTCTGTGACTAAATTTTGTAACAATTTTTTTTACCTCTTGTATAAGGATAAAGCAGACAAGTGCCAAGATTAATGTGTTTTTGGTGAAGACCATGGTTTTTGAGAGAGAAAATTTGGTGTGAAGTTAGAAGTTATGAGTGTGAGTATTTATATAGGAAAAGAGTGGTAATGTATCATAAAGAAAGTGATTATCATTGTCAACAAACTTTGCTATTCATATGTTATGGATGTGGACTTTAAAAGTTTTCCGTGACTCAATGAAAATGACAAGAGATTACCTAAGTATACTTCTGGTTTACGATTGCTGTGGGACATTGAAACGTATTGTTTAGGTTATTTCCTCAATAGTGATGATTCTAAAACCACCATCTATTTTTATCATGTGATTAATGAATTAGTATTTACATTTTTAATGGCCGGTCAAAATAATCATTAGTCGGTTTTATTTATATTTTAACTAAACTTTATCATGACATTGTAAGTTTAATTTCGCTTCAATCTAATGTATGATATAATTGTATCTTTATAAATAAAGATAAATTTTATCTAATAAGATATGTCTGTACCGTTGTGTTAGATTAAATTATAATTTTAAGATGATATTTATTGTATCCTAAAATCTTCCCTCTCGTTTTATTCAACACATGTCCATTGAGGTCCTCAACTTGCTCAAGGATGTCCAAGAGTTGACTAGACAAACTCTCTCTTAAGGCAATGTACCTCAAATCAGGGTTTCTATTTTTATCAAGATGTGTGAACTCCAAAGGTCCCAAATGCTTTACATGGTCCTAATATGTTCTCAAGATCATCCATGTCAAGTTTTATGCCTTGCACAAGAAGTTCGCTCAGTCAATTGCCCAGATGCCTGAAAATCAACTATATTAGGTCAAAAGTTAATTGTGGCCCACATACAGACAAACTTCAAGATTTTTGGTAAACATCAACATTTTGAAGTGATATACATCATTTTATCAAGGGTTTATCATGATTCCTCAAGGAATGCCTCAAATTCATCAAAACCCAAAAGTTGCTAAATTAGGGTTTCTCAGGAAAAGTCAATCAAACTTTGACCAAGCATAACTTCTTCATATTTTATCAAAAAATTTCCATTAAAGGCTCATTTTGAAGAGAATGCAATTCCATACAACTCATCTTCATCACACAAGTTCAAAATATTCACTCATCAAAGATATGAATTTCTACATTATAGGTCCTTTTGAAAAGTCAACAAAAACATTTTTTTGGTCAAAGCTTCTTACATGAACATGGAAGACCCAATTGAGATGAAACCAAAAGGATTGTTTAGGGGACATCCTAAGCTTTCTAAAAAGTCCAAGAACACCCTCTTAGGATTATAATTGAGGGAGATATGTATTGTCAAAATTGATCAATTTTTGGAAATGTGCATGAAGTCAACATTGATCAAAATGACTTTTTTTCTAAATGGGCCCATGTTTTCTTGTTTGAAACTTGTTCCTAAGATGGCCCACGACCCTTGAGCTTATCCACCTATTATTTTATTATTTTTATTATTTATTTTGATTTTTTATCCATTTAAATCAAAATAAATCAATTTAAATAGTAGAATAATCAAATAAAATCAAAGATTTGATTTTATGAGCATATTATGAATCCATGAACAGCTAGCAAATCAAAAAATTCGTGCAAGAGCTAATTGATTGTAAAAGATCTTAATTTGGTCTATTTTGGAAACAAATCATACAAGGCAAAGAATGAAATCAAATCTCTATAATTTACAAAGATATGATCAGTTTTTGTTGACCTAAATCATTCTATGATGTACACACAACATTTCCAAAGCATAAGGAAGGTTTTTGAGTCGTGAAAACAAGGAGGTCAACTTTAATTTTTTGTCAAAAAAAGTGTTGATCACATATTCCTCCATAGACTAATTCTAGTAATTCCAAGGCCAGCAATCCGTTCCTGGACGTTTCTTGAAGCTATTCCAATCGTCCTCCAGTCTTAAAACCTTCAGAAATCACGCCTCACAGTGCCACGGTTTGCATCCTTTTTCAAGATTCGTTTTCAATAATTTATCCATCATAAACATATTTTGATCATATATCCATGCTTGTTATCATATTTGCAATGTTTTTGATTGGTTTGGTTGAAGTTTAAGTGCAGGAATGGCACGGTGCCATTGTTAGGGTTTTTGAGGTCCCAAATTGGGAATTCCATATAGAGGAAAAATTGGACAAACTCAGGGGTACTATCATGCTTAGAAGATGATTTACAATTGATCCATGTCTTTGGTTTGAATTTATTCTGCTTGTGCTACGTTTTTGAATTTTACAGGTTTATGGCTACGAACAAAATCCGTCACTATAGCTTTTAGTGATGCAAACGACTGTAGGTAAAAGTGTGGCAAAAAATAACAGTTATGGGGGAGAAGACAATTAGGTGGCAGAATTCCATTGGGTGATTTGAATCACGCACGCGTTTGAGAAAGACCACTTTATTTCCTTTATATTATATTTATGTTATTATATTTACAACTAACCATCCCAGCAGAGATGGCAAAGGCGCAGGCGGTGATGCAAAGGGTTTTGGGTTCGATCCCAAAATCTCACGTTTTCATATTTTCCAATTTCTTTGTCCCAAATCCAGCGAGCCTCACCTTTAAAAGGGCCACCATGCATCCTCAAATCCACGCCATCAGATCATGTCCTGGCCAGATCTAACGCCTCAAGCATGCAGGCGCGTGGTGGACCTCCTGAAGGCCCGCTGCACTGAATCCCCACGTGGGCAAATGGGTCTATAATTCTGGGCTTAACAATTCCATTCCACACCCCCCAATCTGCTTTCACCACAGGCCCAATTACCTTCTTTCTTTATTTTCTTTTGTTTTATTTGATTAATTTCTTTTTTACAAAACAACAAAAAAAAAATCATTTTTTTATTTAATCATAAAATCAAGAAAACCACAAAATATAGAATTAGGTTTTTTTATTATAATTAGTTTTTTTTGGAAAATAATTAATTTAATGATATTGACTTGATTGTTTTCATAATTAAAATTAATTAGACAAATTAGGTTTAATTCACAAATATTTAATTTTCTCAATAAAATACCAAAAAATATTTTTCTTTAATTAATTAGATTTAGGTTAAGATTTCAAATATTTTTCTCAACAAAAAAATATTTTCTCTTTAATTGATTAAATTTTAGAATTTAAACTTTGATTCCCGTACTTAATTCTCGCGCACAATATTTTATTTTCCAATTATTGTATTTGCTTCGGGTTTGTAATAGTTTTTAATTAGAGTTTACCGCATATTATTTACTGTTTAATCCCCAGTTTTTGGTCATGTAACCCCCTCCCCGAAGCCTTATAATAGCATAGATTTACTTTTCCGCTTTTAATTTCCGCAACTATGAACTGTCTAGATGTATGGATAATAGGCTTGCATGCAAAAGACAAATAAAATTAAAACAGTAGATCACCTTAATTGTGCAAAGATTAAATAACTGAAATCAAACACATGCACATGCTCACTCCTAGGGTTTGCCTCACTTGGTTGCCTCGGAAATAATGGTCGTGTCCCTCGAACATAGGGATATCTTAGCAAAGACCCTCAATTCTAAAGTCATCAAAAAGATCATGGTCCCTTAATGTCCCTTGAGTTGCCTACGAGAAATGATCTTGTCCCTCGATGTTGCCTACGAATATATGATGATAGTCCCTTCGAAATGCTAAGGTATCCTTACTTGTTAACTTCAGAGGCCATTTTGTCCCTTCGAACGTCCCTTTAAAAATCCAACGACTGTGCTACCTATTCCTTAAAAATAGGATAGCGATGTCTAAAGGAAAATGAACAGACTCTTTTTCGAGTAGGTAGAAAACTCTTAAGTACTTGCTCAAACAAACAAACTTTTTCACACCAACACTTTCCCAAACAAAGTTTTCAAAAACAACTCTAACACTCTTGAGGACAAAAACAAGGGTTAAAACAAAGTAAAACAAAACTTTTCAAAGCAAGCATACACAAGCAATTTTAAAAATGAGCAAGTACCTAAGAGCCCGTGGAAAACCACAGATAGAAAGAGTGATAACACCTTCCCTTTCTATAATCTACCCCCCGTACTCAGAAACATCTCGTAAAAGGTTTTTCTGTTCTTTTTCCTTTTCCTGATTGGATAAAATAAAAGTCGGTGGCGACTCTTGCTTACCGCGACATTTGCAAACAAAAAACGCAAACCAGTATTAACAGTCGGTTCTGCCACCATATCACAGAACTGGTGAATCTGTTGGGGACTATAAATTGGTGTTTACCTTAGGATCTAGGTCATTTTAAAATTGCTTTCTTGTTTTTCCTGACCTGCTTTAAATTCAATGGTTTTGTTTGGGTATTATTAAAGATCCTACACTCGGATCTGGGGACACTTTTTAGGTAAACAACAATAGATCATGGAGATTGTACGGCGTAGACCGATATGGTCTAAGTGATGGCTGTGATGGTGTGACACTTTGGTTGGTATCGGTATCCTTCATGTGGAAACAAGGAGAATAAGCGGCCGCCGCGTGGTGCCGTGAAGCACTAACGGACCTTAGAACCTTAGTTAAACAAACTTGGCCATTAGAAACTAGTGAGATAGTCAGCCTCGGTATAAAGCTGAGGATTGGTTAATACTCGACGCTGCACTCATTGAGATCATACTTTCGGGATATTTCAGCTGCAAGAAAAGATTGCTTAAGTTGAAACAATGCCCGATAAAGGATGACCAGTGATATTGAGAATCTTTAGAACCCGGTTACTTTTCTAAGACAGGTTTGAAACCAACTAAACTTCAAGAGGGTATGACCTTAAAACCTATGCAAGCCTAAACCTAAGGTTGTTTCCGTGACTTGTGTGCTTTCAACTTGAACTACTTGCAGAGTTTTATTACCTGACAACATGAGTTCCTTGCAGGTTTTGTTTACAGTTATTATCCAATAACTTGGATTTCTTGCAGGGTTTACTTGCTTACATCACTTCGCACCTTTGCTTAAAAGCATAACATACACATCATAACATCATGCCTTAATGTTTCCTTAACCATTTCAAGGATCTCGAGGGCCTGTGATGCAGGTT